AATAATTTTAAAAAATAAAAATTACAATGTTAGGGGACCAGCAGTTAGTGTAATGGCTATGTTGCTGGATTCCCATGTAGTTGACTGCGGTTTGTGTCCTGGACCGGTGGCTTAAAACTCTCACCAGGCGTGTGTGCGTGCGTGCCCAAGATCCCGGGAGGAGAATGGAGGAGAAGGGATTGCGGCGTGGCCATCCCCCCTGGGGGGTGATTTCTCGCTTTCTGTCTCTATGTCTCTCTCTGTCTGTCTGGCAAGCGCGCGCGCCCTACAGCAAAAACCTCTCCAAAAAAAAAAAATTACAACATTAGGGGCCGGCAGGTGGCATGGTGGTTAAAGGCGCTGGATTCCCACATGGCCGACTGTGGTTCGAGTCCTGGACCTGGCGGCTTGCTTTCTCACTTTCTCTCTCTCTCTCTTTCTCATTCTGTCCCTCTCTGGTCAAATTTAAATAAACAAATGAATAAATAATAAATAAAGTTAAATAAAATAAAAAAATTTCAATGTTAGTATATTCAAAGACAAAGGTCTTTTGTTTCAAAAGCCTATCTTATTTTATAATGGAATGATCCCTTTAGCAGAAATTCACTTTAAGGAAACTTTAAAAAATTCTACTCTGTTAAGTGAGAGATGTCTACATCACAAAGACGATATTAATATGCATCTAGTTGCAATAAAGCTTGCCTGAAAGCAAATAATTTGGCTTAATACCCAGAACATGAGCTTAAATCACCAAACGGTAGAAACTCCCTAAGCAATCTCCGCACGGCAGGGACCATTTCCATTGTCTTGGTATCTCTCTCAGCACTGAGCTCAGAGCTCAGAATATAAAACGTCCTCGAAAAATATTCTTTGAAGGGATGTTTGATTTGGGTATCTAAACCAGAAAGTGCCACTCCTTCACCGACAGTAATGCTTTCTTTAGGTGACATTTCCCCCCCTGCCCTCCATGATAATTAATGCTCCGCTCAGACTGCAGGGTTTGGATGAAGAAATCTGAACAATAGCTCGACAAGACAAAGCCTGCTGTGGCTCATGTGGACTCCTCCGGCTGCTGATGTGGTTTAGAAGGACGCTAGGAGCCGTGCGTACGAGAGGAATATTGATTGCATTTCAGATAATGCGATTTACAGTTAATAAGATGGTTAGTCTGATCCAGGGAAATATTTGTTTTCTTCAATAATGTTAGACAGAAAACACACATTTTAATAAATACTGCATGAGAACAATCCTTTGGGTGAACTTCAAGGAAATAAACCTTCTACCATATGGCTACACATCAGCGCATTTTCACATTTCTAAAAGCTGGAAAGAGGTATTCTCAGTAATTCTTTGTTTTATAAAAAGATTCTTTGGCATTATTCTTACTTTTATATTAGAAATCTTTTCCTGGCCTTTCGGATGTAACCTTTAATATCGAAGGATCATAGTTTAGGGCGGAATATACAGCATGATCCCTTTACATTTTTTTGAAAAACACTCACACACAACTCTGAAAGACTAAATACTAGACTTTGCAATGGTTATTGTGAGGAGCAGGGCAGAGTGTGGGGCGTCCTGACTTTTAAAGTTAAATATTTCTGTGATGTTTGAATTTTTACAGCCACCACATACTGCTTTTGTGATCAGAGGGCAATGCATTGACACACATGGTTGACGTTAATGACATCAGCAATGAAAATAGTAGCCATTGGACCGGCAGGTGATATGGTGGTTAAGGCACTGGGCTCCCACATGGTCCACTGTGGTTCGAGTCCTTGACCTGGTGACTTGCTTTCTCACTTTTCTTCTCTCTCTCTCTCTGTCCCTCACTGGTGAATTAAACTAATAATAATAATAATAATAAAATAGGGGACCAGCAGATGGCATAGCAGTTATGTCACTGGACCCCACATGGCCAACCACAGTTCGAGTCCTGGATCTGGCAGCTTTGAAACTGAAGCCAGACGCAAGTGTGTGCATGTCTAAGATCTCAGGAGGAGAATGGAGGAGAAAGGATTGCAGCATGGCCATCTCTCCTGTGGGGTGACTTCTCAATTTCCCTTTCACTGTCTCTGTCTCTCTCCAACGAGTGCACTTGCCCTAAGGCAAAAACCTCTCGAGATAAATAAATAAATAAATAAATAAATAAATAAATAAATAAATAATGCAAACAAAATAGTAGCCATAGTAGTTAAGGACAGAAGCCAGCACTGAGTCATCGGTTACAACCGACTCCTGCTGGCATGTTTGGGGTCTGTGTGCAGCGCCGCCAGAAACGGCAGACAATTAGCTACTCCTCAGAAGTCCAGCATCAGGAGAAGAAAGGCCGGGTGAAGGTGTGTCCGTCTGCACAGACCAGGAGACTGGTATAGGATGCCCGACCAGAAGCTAGTAAGCCCGAAGGCACACCGTGTAGCTGCGACTGCTTTTTCAACTTCGCGTCTGAGCCACGTGTGGGCAAAAAAAATTTTAAGTGTGGGGGCCAGCAGATGGCATAGTTGATCATGGTTCGGGTCCTGAACCTGGCAGCTTGAAACTCACACTGGACGTGTGTGTGTGTGTGTGTGTGTGTGTGTGTCTAAGATCCCTAGAGGAGAATAGAGGAGAATAGAGAAGAGATTGCGGCACGGCTATCCCCTCAGGGGGTGATTTCTCACTTTCTCTCTGTTTCTCTTTGTCTCTCTGTGTGTCTCCAGCAAGTACATGCACCCTATAGCAAAAATCTCTTTTAAAAAAATTACAGTGTGGGGAACCAGCAGTTAGCGTAATGGCTATGTCGCTGGACTCCCACGTAGTCGACCGCGGTTCGCATCCCGG